TTGCCCGAGGTCGCTTACGGAGTGCATGCAGTAGAACAAGACCCACTAAGACTTGCACGTAGGCAGAGGTTGGACGATACGCTGAATACAGTAATACAGGTGATCACCAACGGAATAGAAGTGGATCAAACTACGGCGAGTAAGGAGCTAACCACACTACTCAGACAGAGGGATCGACTCAGAGTGAATGCCTACGGGACTCTGACCTGGCGAGAGAACGACGGAAGCTGGCTGGCTGTCATACCTCAATCGTCGCGCCACGACATGATAGAAGAATGTCACCAGCTAGCGCATACAGGCGTGGCCAGAACGACCGATCTCCTAAGACAAAGTATGTACTGGCCAGGTATGAGAGAAGACGTAGCAAGATACGTACTTGGATGTCCACGGTGCCAGCTGATGAAAGGTGACCGGTGTATACGACCACCACTTCAGTCGATTCCAGTTACCGCGATAGGTGACTTGTGGTCCGTAGATGTCATGGGTCCATTTCCTCAGACATCCAATGGTAATCAGTACCTCTTGGTAATGACGGAACACGCGACACGATGGGTAGACGCCGTAGCAATCCCAGACCAACGTGCAAGAACCGTGACAGATGCAGTAGTTAGACACATTGTTGCAGACCACGGCGTACCGAAGACAATACTGACAGACCAAGGTCCCTGTTTCGAGAGTGAAGAGTTTACTTCCCGTTTGCAACAGCTGGGCATCAAGAGGATCAGAACGACCCCATACCATCCACAAACGAATGGCCTAACGGAGAGAAACAACCGTACACTGAAGGAGTGGCTGGCCTCGAAGGGCGGGAACTGGGAAACGGAGCTTCCACTGATTTTACTAACACATCGCGCTACCACTCAGGAAACAACGAAGAAGTCACCCTTCCAACTGATGTATGGTAGAAAACCACGATTTCCGGTACACAATGAGACCTGGCCCATGCACCAAAAGTGGAGTACGACGAAATTAAAAGCAGAGAGGAAAGAGGCAGTCAAGAATGTAATACGGAAGCAGCGCAGTGATGTCGTGAAGTCTCAGATGAAAGAAAGGACGCAGTGCATTACCTTTGCAGTCGGGGACCAAGTGAAGTGTAGAGACAGGAGATATACAGTTGGAGGCGGGCTAGGTTCACGGAAACTCCTTCCAAAGTGGGAAGGACCATACACAATCACAAAAAGACGGGGTCAAGTATATACCATCCGAAGAGGTGATAAACAGAAACGAGTTAACGCCAGTCAGCTCCAAAGATGGGTACAGTGGGACAAGCCGGTCAGTAACAATCCTCAACTAGAGGATGTAGCACCCAGAAGGTCGGAACGTCTGCGCACGAAGCTATTTGACGGGGGGACGAGTGTGGTGAGAGCAGGCTGCTAGCCGATTGGTTGGCACTAATCTACGTTAAGGTCTAGGTCACTAATATGGGCCGTGAGAAAATATGAACAAGCCTGAGTCAACAACCAATCACAGCAAAGTTAACGTGGCAAAATATGATTCGCAAAAAAAAATCGATTTGTCAAGGAATCCCGAAACAACCAATCAGAAGCCTGCGTTTGTCTACCTAAACAACCAATCAGATGACTGCGCTTGTCTATAATAATGTAGTTGAAAGATGTATAAATACGTGTTGATTTTCATAATAAAACGATCTGTTGCTTCGCCCTTGTCTTCTGTTGTTACACAGACAGCTCTCACCGCAATATAAAGATGTGTAGAGTGAATAAATTAGGAGTTCCCCATTATGATTTGATATCAGAAAGAGAATCATTGAAAACCAGCTACGGAGTACTAGAAAGCTGTTTCGTCCCCACTTGGGACTCACTGGCAGTACATATCCACCGCCAGGGTTCGAACCCAGGACCTTCCCATTACAAAGCAAGCTCGTAAACCATTCAGTCACTGAAAGCCGACTCAATAGCCAGTCCATGAATTCTAGCTTCTACCGACTCGTGATTTTAGCGTGACCTCCAGCCAATGTCATCGGCGGGCATTTGTCAACCCCCTCCCCCGACCGAGTCGTCCCTACTGATCACGACTCCTCACTAGAACTCCATGCAACTTAGTCCTGTGGGCAGTTAGTAGCAACCAGGCGCTAAAATCATGAATTGGTAGAAGTTAGAATTAATGGACTGGCCATTGAGTCGGCTCCCAGTGACCAAATGGTCTACGAGCTTGCCATGATATCGATCCATGATTAAACTTGAATAACTAGGCATCCATAGATTCCTACTATGATATGGTGTCAAATAGTTGACAGTCTGTTTGGTCGTTACATCCTTGAAGATTTTGAAAGCATCTTTACAAAACGCTGACGTTCTTAAAAGGTCACTGTTTGTTAGAAAGGAGTGTCACCATGAAGAGTCTATATGCAAAGAGAAACACAAGGAACAGAAACAAGGACAGACTAAAGTATCACTGGTTTGACTAATGAATTACATTTTAGGTGGGTTTTTTGGTGTTGTTTATTTTTCAAATTGCTAACTGGCATAAAATACTAGTATATTGTACATCATATGGTAAAGCAGAAAACATTGACAAACGTCATAACAAGTAAACCAATAATTAAATTTAATGGCGCCGTGTCATTCAATCAACTAATTGTGTGTTGAATTTATTTATTTATGATTATGCACTGCTATAAACCTAAGGTTACACGTGAAATTAACGTATAAGAAATAATTTTTTATAAATGAACTGTACCAAACCACAAAGTTATAGTCTTTTTAACTATTAATGTAACATACACATGTATTATAAAGTGTTGGTTTGCAATGATTTCATTGGGCGGGCGTGCTGCTCAGCAGTCACTTCGCTCCGTCCTCCTTTATTGCTGTGAGTCCTGGCCATTGAGAGTGGATGACATGAAAAGCCTAGCTAGCTGTCTTTAATCATAGTTGTCTGCCCTCTATCTCCCGTGTGAAGTGGTATAATATGGTGAGCAGTATTGAGGTTAGGCGTCCGTCGAGTGCGAGGTAAGGAGGGGAAATCAATAGATGAGACTATGAAGTTACACCAATTGAGATGATTACGAAATGCTAACCTAGCCACCGCTTTCCTTGACATCGGGGAATGTTAGGTGACACACGGTCAGGCTGGAAAAGAGCTAGCGGCGGTCAAACCAAAACATAGCACCAGTCAATGAAATCCACAACAGTTGGTCTAAGCCACGTAGGAAGGTGTAGACTTCCTGACTGTTTGGGGTCATCGGGACGGTAAAAAACCAATGGTTGGAAACAGTCAGTGATATGGTTCAAAATCGTTCTCAGTGGGTGGCGCAGATTCATCCACTCCTTGTGACTTATGATTTCCAATGAAACTATATTGTTCTTCGTCATTATTACTATTCCTTTGTCTCACACCTGTTTGCTGTCTCTATTATGCATTTCTTCTACTTTCTTCTGTTGCTTTGTGTGCTAAATTGAGGGAGTGTGGCGACTTGAACTGGCGCACATCGGTGAAAAGTTCTATTTCGAAAACAGACAGACATATTCCATTGGTTACAGGATTGATTATGCGCTGAAATCAGTTAGAGAACCGTTGGAAAACCAGTAAGGAGTACTGGACAGCTATTTCGTCGGAGTCTCAATGCCTGAATGGTCAACAAACTCACCTCGTAACCCGGGGGCGCTGGGTTCGAACCCTGGCAGTGGGTACATACTGACGAGGAACCCCAAACTAGGACATAACAGCTTTCCAGTACTCCCCGCAGGTTTTCCAATGGTTCTCTAAATGATGTATTTGTCAAATTGAAGATAAAATAGATAAACATCTTCAGTTTACACCTACCAGGCAGTGCAGACGTAGATTTCACTCATTTAGATATGATATTATTATGGTTCTTTTGAGTTCTGAGTAAAATATGGGGCTACAGAATCACATCGCCATTCCACTCTGTACTCTGCAGTGTCATACTTAGTTGGCTCCATGATTACCCATAGGCTTTCATTCCCTCCTCACACAATCTGCACTATGTCACCCTCAGACACCCAACTCGTGGCCTCTTATTCGGGTTCCTCTGGAAGATCTACCTGGAGTATGATGTCTTTCAGTGGTTTTCAAAGAGTAGAGTAGTATGTCCAATCTATCCCCATTTTTTCTGCATTTTTGTTGAGCAATAGGTTTTTTGATGGTTCTTTGACAAAGTTTCTCATTGCTTACCCTTTCTGGTTGGTCATCGGGTATTCATTGTCAGCGAAGGTAAGTATTGATAAAAGTCTGCAGTCGCATGTCTTCTTCGATGAGTTACTGCCTCATCTTCAACCTGCTGTACCCTACTAGTCACGGCTTCGCGAAATGGTTGCGCAATATCATGAATCGGCAGAAGTTAGAATTCAAGGATCATTGGATCGGGTTCCAGTAAGCTCAATGGTCTACGAGCTCGCCTTGTACCCACGGTCTGTTGCATAATCCAGTCCACCACCATCAGGAATATCATCGATGGTAGTGAGGATATCCTTGTCTTACTTACTCCTGTCTAGCATATACAACCTAAAATGACATGTGTATCGCATTGAATTGAGCGATATTCATTCAATACAATACTACTAGTCTGCTCTATTCAATGTTCAAAATCCACTACTATCCAAGGTTATATTGTGGTGAGAGCTGGCTGTTAGTCAAAATTGGTCGACAGTAATTTACGTCGATGTTTATGTCCCCGATATTCATCGTGAGAAAAATGAGAAGAAAGGCTTTGCGCAGGCGGACACAGTTAACATATAGATGATCTGACATTCAAGAAACAGTCACGAAGAGATGCAAGGTTAACTTTCTGTGGGAAACAACCAATCAGAAGACTGTGTCTTTCTGCTAACAATAATCTATAATATGTACATGAAAATCTATAAATGTGTTGATTTCCTTAATAAACGATCTGTTTCCTGGCCCTTGTCTTGTGTTGTTACAATATAAAAGAAAAGCAATTTAGTGAATTAATTAAAACACCACCACGGGGAAAAGAAAAAAGAAAAATATTGATCTTTTTATTAAATAAAACTAACCGAACAGAATTCACATCTTCATCGTTTACTTGTTTAGAATTAATACACGGTACAAATAAAACTTCCCAACTTGATAAGCCTAAAACACCATATAAGGCTAATTTATTGTGTAAAACTTCAAATGAACCATATCGATAAATAGTATCCAGCGGTTTGCCAAACAACAACTTCTCTCCAGAATTTCGAATAGCAGTTAATAAATGACCAGTTGGATTTTCTGAAGACACTCCACGAAATGGGATTTCATAGGCACAATAACAATAAGGTACATCATCCATTCCATTCAACTAGCGCATGTGACTAGCACACGTCATTATTAGAAGATGAAACATAAATAATAGGATTTTTAAGTGGAAAGACGTTTGAATCAGGTTAATTATACCATGTTTGTGGGGATTTAGTGATGTATATAGATGATCTACAATTTGGAGAAAAATACAATAAAAACAAAAAGGGTTGGAGATTGATTATAATTCGAAACATTTTTTACCCTAGTAGGTGACACGCAATATCCCTAAGCTCATAAGAATCATTCATAAGCAACACTATGCGACAACAGTAAGTTCTGTTTGAATATGATACACGAAGTGTGTTAGATTACTGAGTTCCCATAGGACAACCATTGAGGTTTGTAAGTAAATATAAGAGCATCCAGTTGTCTCCTAATAACACGCTGGCGTAAGCACTAGACTGCTAGTCAATCGATTACTTACTTGGGAAGGATTGGTTGCTAACGAAATCTTAGCATGTATGTCTCTGTCTGCCTGTTTTCGATATAGAACTTTGCACTGATGCGCGGCAGTTCAAGTCGCCACACTCCCTCCTTGTAGCACAAAAAGCAAGAGAAGAAATTCATAATAGAGACAGTAAACGAAGGTGTGAGACAAAGGAATAGTAATAATGACGAAGAACAATATAGTTTCATTGGAAATCATAGGTCACAAGGAGTGGATGCATCTACGCCGGCCATTGAGAACGATTTTCAGCCATATAACCAATTGTTCCCAACATTCATTGGTTTTCACCGTCCCGATGACCCCAGACAGGGAGTTTACACCTTCCTATGTGGTTGGCTTAAACTAACCGTTGTAGATTTCATTGACTGGTGCCATGTTTTGGTTTGACGGCCACCAGCTCTTTTCCAGCCTGACCCTATGTCAGCTAACATTGCCCATAGTCGAGGAAGGCGATGACTAGGCAGTTATGCGTAACGCATGTCCTAACCATCTCAGTCGATGTAATTTCACAGCCTCGTCGATTGATTTCCCCTGTTTACCTAGAACTCGACGCCTAACCTCAATATTGCTCACCTTATTATACCACTTCACATGAGAGATAGAGCGCAGGCACCTATGATCAAAGACAGCTAGCTAGGCTTTTCATGTCAGCCACGCTCAATGGCCATGCCCCGCTCACAGCCATAAAGGAGGACGGAGAGGACTGATGAGCAGTACACCCGCCCTTTGGTCGATAGTCGGATATCATGTCTACGTCAGAGACGGCGTAAACTGGCATGTGCGAAATTAGCTCTCTGTATCCGCACTCAGCTGAGATTTCGTCAGAGATCAACCCGTTGGGGCTGATGGTACTTCTCAAATAAGTAAAGCGGTCAACGTGCTCTACCACTTCACTTCCTATTTTTAAACTAGGCGTCGATGTAGTCCAGTCCTGTAACATCATCTTACATTTGGCGGGAGCGAATCGCATGTCAAACATTCGTAGATTGCAGCTCAAGGTGTTTAGAAGACTCTGCATTTTGTCAGCGTCCTCGCCTAGAAGGACTATATCGTCTGCATATTCTAAGTCAACTAGATTATTCCCTGGTAGCAAGTCAATCCCTGAGTTTCTGAAGTGAGTTAGGGTTAAATCCATTAGTACATCCATGATGAAATTGAATAGAAATGGGGATAATGGACACCACTAGTCGTCACCACTTCATGTGACAACTCGCCATAAGCCCTCACCTGGTTGCAAGAGTTCGAGTAGAGTGCCTTGTTCAGTGCAATCTTAGCATGTATACAAAATGACAGTTTAGTACATGTTAACTTGCATTATCTTCTGTGGCACCTAAGTATGCAACAACTCACTAAACAACGTATGAAAAGTTCATTTTGTCCTCCTTTACAATTAAAATTACTTCTGAAGCAGAATGATCGCATGCTTTCGGTCATAAATGCATCAGTTAATCATTTACGTCAAGCTGAACAGCAAAGAAGCGATACGCAGATTAGACGCCAAGCGTTAGTTAAGAAGGGAAATTAAATCAATGAAATCATTGGAATGGTTATGTTATGTGCCACTGCTATCGCCACTCGACAAGCAATATCAGCTGAAGTTAATCTAGACTTGTGTGGTGACTAAACCCAAAACAGGATATATCTATGAGGACACTGACTCCTGGTGTAAGCCATGTACAAAGGTATAGGTTGCATGGATGAATCTCTAAGCATACCAAAAGCCAATGGTGACAGATTATATGTGAAATGGGTTAGAAAAACTTATTGACGAAGGTGTATGCGTTTTATCATTATTCTGGCAGTTTTCACTAACCACTGAATTATTGTCTGTCAGATTTACATGTGCCCATTCTTTGACTGGATTATCAGCCTACGACTGCACAGAATTACAACAGTTAAAGCCAACAAACTTTGTAAGAGCATAAAAAGGTTGAGGGAAGAAATGCGATCAGACTAGAGAAAAGTATGCGGAAGAGAGAATAGTAAGATGCGGATTACTGAGGAATTTTAAAATCTGGATGACAGTGAGGAATGTACACATCCTCCCTACTGTGAACCAGTTTGAAACATGTCACCAATAGTCTTAAGTGATTAGTCCTTAGCAGCTTGAGGACCCCAACCAGACAGTCTGCACCTTCCCATGGGACTTAAACCAATAGTCAAAGACTCCGTGGGTTGATATCATGTCTTTGTCTGGTCACCACTAGCCCTTTTTCAACCTAATCCAATATTAGCTAACGTCACTTGTCGAGGAAGGCAGTGATTCAACATATGTAACACAAGCCGTAGCCTTCTCAACATGTGCAACTTGACAACTTTATAGACTGACTTCTTGTGCTTACCCGAGACTAAACTTATTATAACTGAATTTGTTGTTCCACACAGTAATAAAAACTGAAAGAATACTACGGTCAACAACTGTTTATCTTTTCAAATCTTCCACCTTAGATAGCCAAGTCTCAGTTATAAAGAAAGATGGGGCGAAGTGCTGCACAGTACACACGTCTTTCGATGGATAGCCGGATATCACGCTTTTTTCAAAGTTGACAAATGATAAACAAGCCTTTTTTATCTGTGCTGAGATCTTGTGAATAGTCATTCCATTAGGGCTGATGTTACTGACCAGTGAAAGTGACCAACGCATTCCATGATTTCACTCCTTATCCCGAAATTAGGAGTCAGTACAAACCAGTACAGCATCTTACACATGACAGAAGCTATATGCATATTAGGATTCTTGCTGACTTCGTTCATAAGACTCGCCATTTTATCAATATTCACCTGAAAGGGTGACACCCCCTTCATTGTTCAGAACAACGAGACTTCCCCCCGGCAACTAGTCACTTCCCAAGATATCGAAGTGAAATAGGGTCACAATTAGTAGTTAGTACGTCTAAGATAGGGTTTCATAATCGCATAACCTCTCCATCGATACAATCAAATATCACAAGCGCAAAACCCCTATGTATTGATTTTCCTGAACCAGTCAAGGAATGAAAATCCTATCAACATACCCTTGTCAAGAGTTTGGAGCTTGCTTATTTTCCTCGAGTTCGCTTTTTTGAGTTTCACCACATCTCAGAAGTACTACGGAACATATTAGTCATGCTGGGTCCCCTGTGGCATTTACAGGGAAATTTGTTTTACTTCCCAAGAACTGGAGTGATGAGTGATTTACATCAATCCAATGAAACCATCTCACTTTGCCCTCCACTAGTTAATGTAGCAAACTGCATATGATTCCAGGCATTATCAGGATTAATGTTGATGTCATCCTCAGATTCACCTCCCACTAAATGCACACCCTTTCTTTATCAGAAGCTAAACATATAAGGGATCCATAACTGCTTGTTTTCTACGTCCGTCGACTTAAAGGTAAACATTTGTATGACTAATGGGAGATTGGAGTGCCTACAGGTATTCTAGAAGTAATAACAGTCTCCTACAATTTATAACTAAATGATTTGTTAGTGTCCATCATTGGGTTAATGTTGGCGGTCAACACGTGTGACAGTGCTTCTCCTTATGTTTGAAGTTAATAGTGTTCATAAATAATTACCTATATGAAGAAAACTGTACTAGATGTTCGCTGTGGTCGAGTGGCAAAATCAGAGTCTATAGATTATTATTTTTTTGGACTAGCTATTGTAATATCATTTCTTCCTGTTCTTTTGCTTTCCATGATTTTTCGAAATATTGTAACCTTAAATGATGAACTTATGTACATCTTGTATACACAAAAATTGATTTTATATGGCAGACGGTATAGAGCTAGAAAGTTAGTCCCAATGATTTAGACCATACAACTGGTGCGCCAGAATGAGGAAAACAGTACTAATCGAGTCTCCGTTTACAACGACAGATTTCAGTTTTGAGTGAGGTTTCCTAATTGGGACTCAAAACTATATTCTTGCAATACTTTGTGGATGCCACATCCAAAATATACGCAATCGGTGGAACTAAACAAGTTGTAATATTCCTTAAAAAATTTAGCCATTCAGAGTATGTGGAGTACAAACAAAACGTAGTCCCTTGGTGTTCACTGAAACCTTCAAAATATATGTAATACTTATTACAGAGATGTTTTGACGTAAAATCAAACATGAATAATAACGATGAAAATAATTTGTAAATGCCTGCCTTAGTATTACCCACATAAATTCCGAAGATTTGAGTTTTCCAGCTACTGAAGAACTATGAGTTTACCGTAATTTATCGTGAACATAGACAGTTTTCCTCTTGTAGTCATCTAGGAGGTACTCAAGACCCAAAAGACGGTGACCACTTAGTGTATAACGAAGTGTTTAAAGATTACTCGCATAATGCTGTAAAACTCAGGCTTAGGCGAAAAACCTGATTTACTTCTCGAGTAGAATCTCCGTAAAGAAATTCGAACTATTTTAGTGTACAACGCGTAAACGTATTCCTTGATGCCACTGATCGCATACCAACATTTCCTGAACCCAATGAAACCAGATTAGCCACCTTACCCTTAGCCGTGAACAATTAATTAGAACTAAGGAACCATAGAAATTGAGAAATTGTTCATGTCGCTCTGAGATTTGTCCATATTTCTGATTCTGTTTTTTAATCTAACCAAAAATCCTACTCCTCAAAGAACACTTGTCAATCTTCCTCTGCATATGTTTTAGCAAGTCCAGTCAACCTACTATCCACACAGCAATCAAATATTCACTCTTCCTGGCACTTCCTAAGTAAATCCAGAAGAGAAGGCGTAATTTCATTCGGTTGTACAACATGTAACTCTAACTACTCAAAAGTCATGTCATAAGTTTGACACTTTTCTTTGACTTCACCATTTGTGATGCAGTTCTCACATATACTAAATGATACTATTTTTTAAAGGCTATCCGATGAATCGCTTGTCGGTGACCCAGGCGAAGAATCAACCAAATGCGTTTGGTAGCGACAATGAAAAACCAAGGCTTTTTTCGGATAGAAAACTTCATATAAAACCGATGGCGTGTGGCAACACGATTTCACAAGATAACTATTCTTTTATATGTATTAGTTTATCAACAAGGTACACAGTGTCAGTCCAGACCACTTTTTCACATGAAATCACCGAAATAACTGTATGGGGCGTGTCATTTCATGCCTCATATACTGCTATAATTTTTCAGATACCCCTAAAGTTCTCATGTAGAATTAATATGCCTTTCATTCAACAGTTCAACAAAATCAGGGGATGATTTAGTGTTGTGGACATTTCTGTTAAGACATTCAAGGTCAGATTCAGGTGATAAGGATAGAAGGCTCTTGTGGCCTGTGTTAATCCTTGCAAAGTATATCTCTGCAGAGATCTAACTTCTCTTTGAAAGCGTTCACCGATGGAGCTGATACTACTGAATCAGGTAAGGAGTTCCAATCGTTGACCACTCTGTGAGAGAATCTAAATTCTGCACGTATTTTAATCGTCCTTGGTTTGAGCACCTTTTTGCGGTGACCCCGTAAATGTATCCTAGAAGGGGAGAAAAGGTTAGAAAGGTCAGTTCCTAAATCACCCTTAAGTATACGGTATGCTAAAATTAAGTCGCCTCTCTTCCTTCGGTATGATAACGGGAAGAGATTTAAATGCTCCATCCTCTTATCATAAGGAAGGTGTGAGATACCACTAACTAATTTTGTTCCTACTCTCTGTACTCTTTCCAGAATATGTGCCTCCTTTTTGAAGCATGGACTCGTCGCTTGTATGCAGTATTCTAGATGAGGCCTGACATATGTTGCGTAGAGTATTTGGAACATGCCCTCGTCTAATCGTTTGAAAGCCCTTCGAATTGCCCATAGCATTCGAAAAGCTTTAGCTGCGGCTGCATTGCAATTTGCAGTTGTTTTCAAATCGTTGCTGACAATGATTCCTAGGTCCTTCTGTTCTTTAACATCAGGTAGTTCTGCATCCCCTAGGGAGTACGACGTATAAGACTTCTGACCTAAGTGCATTACCGCGCTTTTCCTAGCATTCATTTCCAAACTCCATAGGCTTGACCACTCAGCTAATTTATCTAAGTCATTTTGTAGGGCCAACCTATCCTCGTTATTGTTTACAGTTTTCCATACCTTAATGTCATCTGCAAATAATAATGAAGATGAAGAAAGAATCCCTGGTAATTCGTTAACGTATAATAGGAATAGCAATGGACCTAATACAGTTCCCTGGGGCACTCCACTGGATACTGCTTTCCATCCTGATAGTACACCATTAACTCTAACCTTCTGCCTTCTATCCATTAAGTAATCTCTAAACCACTCACATAGGCATTGGTCTAGTCCGAAACCTTTCAGTTTACTAAGGAGACCTAAGTGGGATACTTTGTCGAACGCCTTGCTAAGATCAATAAAAACCACGTCCAACAGATGGTCCCTATCTCTGGCCTCAACCCAGTCTTCCCTAGCCAATAGTAGGTTTGTCAAGCAGGATCGTCCTGGTCGGAATCCATGCTGTTCCACAGCCAACAAGCCATGTGTTTCAACATAAGCTAATAGTTGATCCCTTATAATAGTTTCCAGTACCTTTGCAATAATGCATGTCAGACTTACCGGCCTGTAGTTAGATACCAATTGCCTATCCCCGTCCTTGAAGATAGGGCTTATAATGGCATCCTTCCAGTCCCTGGGTAGCTTAGCCTGCGTCAGAGACATTTGGAAAATCTCCGTAAGCGGAATATATATTATATCCGCCAAGGAAAGTAACAACTTAGGGTGGAGTCCATCCGGCCCAGGTGATTTACCTGGCTTCAGTTTAGACAGTAGTTTCAGAACCTTTGTGTGCTCTACCACAATTGAGGGCATCTGAGTGGCGATGGCAGTGACCTCGCCATATCCCTGGGTGGTACTATCAGACGAGAAGACGTCACAGAAGTATTCAGAGAGGTTTTCAGCCTTCCCTTCGTCTGACTCAGCCGCTTCTCCACTAATGGTTATGAGTGACGGTATACCACTGCTAGTTTTAGTCCTACGTTTAATATACGAGTAAAACCTTTTTGGGTAATGAACGCAATCTAGTACTAATCGTCTCTCGTACTCTACACGACTCTTGTTAATCGCATACTTACAGAGGTTTCGAGTTTTGCGGTAGTCTTTCTGGAAGTTTTCCCTTCCTGTCATAACAAATTGGTCCCATAAGTTCTTTCGCCGTCTTAATAACCTCCTTATTTCACTAGTGATCCAAGGAGGTTCATGCGACGGCTTTCGAGGAGTGTACCAAGGTATAAAAGGTGAAGTGACACGATCTAGTGTATTCCTAAATCCTACCCAAGCTTCCTCGACAGTCTGACTTGTATCAACTGACCAGTCAACCACAGTTGCTGCGTTCCGGATTCCTTGTATATCCGCTTTCCAAATGTTTGGACGAGCAGATTTTGGCCTGTGCATGAGAGAATGAATCCTAAACGTAAAAGCAATGACTATGTGGTCACTGCTGCCAAGCGGCGGAAGGCACCTAATGTTACCAACGTCCTCCTTCTGGTGTGTCAATACCAAGTCTAGAGTAGATGGATCATGTTCAGGGTGATACCGTGTTGGTGCATGCATATGTTGCACGAGTGCACATTCAAGCACTGTCAATGTGAGCTCCCTATTGAAACAGGTATACAAACTAGTGGAGTTTAATTCCCCCCAATTAATATGTGGAGCGTTAAAGTCGCCAACAATCAGACACCTATTTCTACTACCCCACGCCCTCAAGTGATTTAGAACGAAGTCATCAGCTTGGCTAGCAGGACTTCTGTAGATAACTCCGATCGTTAAAGTGCCTTTGTTTAAGTTAATGATGCAACTTGCGGCTTCACTGGTGCCGCTGTCATGAGCTTCTGACAACGTTGACCTGATCCCTATGTCATCCCGGATGTAAAGAGCAACCCCCCCACCTTTCCGACTACTTACTCTGTCTGCTCGTATGCAGATATACCCAGGTATGAGTGGAGTTAAGTCTACACCCACTAACAACCACGTCTCAGTGATAGCAATTACATCAGGTTGTAGTCTTTCAGATAACTCTCCTAATTCGGCGAGCTTATTCCTAAGACTACATGCGTTCGTATAGCACACCGAAACACCTACGTGTTCACCCGGCTTATGAAGAGAGGTCTCGGCAGCATCGGTTTCCGAGACCTCACCACCCGAAAACCCAATAGTTTGAGGTCCTTCTCGCCTTTCTCTAGCCTGGCCTTTAGTTCAGCCACGGCTTCTCTTCTTTTGATTCTATCTTCCAAAGGCCAATCAGGCCTTATTTTTAGACTTTTGTCGTTGACTTTGAACGCGTTGTCGAGGATGGTCCTCCTCTCTGTTTCGTTCCCTAAAACTACCTTAAGTAGTCGTCGAGGAGTTCCTGTAGCATCAGGGTTTCGTTTTCCGATCCTGATAGCCTTTCGTACGTGTACTCCAGTTGTTTTTTCGGGAAGTATTTCCCGGAATATGGAGCTGATCGCCTTCAGATCATCTGCATGTCGGGCAGCTGGATCTGTGTTCTTAGATTCCTCCAAGTTCCAGATGATAATACTGTAACTAGAGTCCGTGGGTTTCTGAGTTTTGCTGGAACTAACAGTCGTCGAGACCTTGTTGGTAAACTCGGCTACTGTTTCTTTCCTAGTTTTGTTTTGCTTCTTACCTTTCGGCAGCAACCAAGTGGAGTCCGTTTCTCCCACTCTGTTTTCGCCGCGACTAGAAGCCATTCGTGCACTAGACACGCTGCGCTTTGGCGTTGCTATTTCACAGGCTGGTTTTGCCATGCTGGCACTACTTGCCCTTCTGGATTTCCGTTGCCTTTTGCGCTTTGCAGCAACAGATGTCTGGGCATTTTGTGCTTCTTTCGCTTCTGAGACTTCAGGAGGTGATGCACCCTGAATCTTACAACTATGTCCTGAACCGCCATCCTTGGCGAAGGTTTCTGGTACAGGCTTTTCAACTATGTCTTTCGACAATTTCTTGGACATCAAGAGTCCTACTGCCTCTTGGATGAGGACATCTAACGGGTTGCTGCAAAATTTGCACAGCCATGGAGATGATGGCTTGCAACATCTCTTATAGGCTACTGGTGTTAAACCAGTGCAAACTTTGTGGAACCAAAGGCTGCAGTTGTCACACTGCATCCCATCATCCACCGGAAAGTGGCAGTCCGGTCGACCACAATTGTTAGTTGGGGCCATAATTTTAATTTGTTACAACTATACAGTTATATATACGTGAAAACAGTGAGGTTAATGCCAAACAAATACACACTTGTATATACGTGTGACAGCTAGGTAAATACCAACCAAAACACAAAATGTGAATAAAACAGACAACACTTGAACTAAATAAATCAGTTAAAGTGAACTAAAAGCTTCTGATGTGGTTTAAACAACAAAAGCAGAATTTACTTCACAACGTAAAAAATGCCACTCTCCTTTTTCAAAGCGCGCTGAAAGTTCAGGTCAATTAGTAAGTCGTTCCCTAGGGTTTCTGATGTTTAGCTTTTTCAGTGCGCCTAGTTTGATATTATTTCATTTCCCCTAAGATGCTTCTGGAGGCCAAAAAGAGGAAAGCGATATACTTCAAGGAAACACTCACATTGCAACTGAAGCGCAACCGTGAAATATCGCGCACTGTACGACATTCAATATAAATCTTATGTTATCTGTACTATCTGTAAACGTAAGTGTAAATCAGGTAAGATCTCTAAAATTTCCCTGTGTAGCGACAATATATCCACGATGTCCGACCTTTCACAATGGATCATTTGTTTGATGGGGGTAAAAAATCCTCTACGTTAGCTAGTAACAACCACATTAGTTCCCTTGAATTCGCTTCTCGGTGGTAAAGTGACAGTGGAAAGGTGGTAGAAATATAAAAACCAATATTTTCTTCAGTCATAGCTTCAATTCTAGGCGTATTTGTCAGTACAAATTAGTGAGGATTCCTAGTAAGAATTATCCACAATGACAGCAACTATTTCTGTGATTCTCCGCTAACTGCTAAGATCACTTGTGTAAAAGAATAAGATAATCAAAGTCTTTCGAGCAGTGTTAACGGTTGGATGAACAACGAAAGCAATCAAAGATTTGTTCCCTTTCAACGTTTTTAACACTGCACGGTATGACTTATCGGTTTCCACTTAAATTGGATGGACGCCTGATTTGTGTGTCACAGCTCATTAAATGTCACTTGTAGCCAAGCTATATCAGATTTATCTTCTCCATTATCTAAAGACCCCGTACATTAACTCTCTGAGGATGTACTGAGATAAATAGAAAAAGAACGTCTTCACACAATATTTTTTTGATTTCGTTTGTATAAATGCTAAGTTTATAACAATAGAAAACGACTAAAAATTCACACTGTATAAAGATGTTGTTTGAAAAACAAAGCTATATTTACTTTTGTAAGTCGTTACTCTTCTATTCTACAAGATTAAGGCCGGTTACCACACTCATGCTACACAAACAGCTGAAGTAACTAAATCGATAATTGGGCATAATGACTAAGAAACTGAACTCTCCATAGATAGATTTTTATAGTTTATAGAAGACGGCAGATAAGTCAGCCAGAAACGTATTTCTCCCCTCGAAGACACCACTCCTAAGATTTCCTGATATCGATAAAGGAATACTTGAAAAATGTTGGCTGGTGTTGGCTTTCAACAATCTTATAGAATTATTAGCCCACAACTTCTTCGTCATCCAACAACGGGTGTTAGTCATCATTACTCACGCTGGCTGTATAGGCTAACTGTTCGTATTTAAGTGCCTCCGTCATATTGCGATCTATGGCTAGTTAAAAAAAAATGGGAAATACCACTTCTTCTCTAGGTGTTTGATAGTAAGAGTTAGAACTTAAATGAGTTCTGCCAATGGCTAATAATTCGTTTAGATGCGTGCTATGGTTGTTTGGTCTGCTGGGATTAATAAGACTCTCTTATTCTCAATGTGTAGAGGTCATATTCACTGAACATTTTCCGCTCTTTGCGCTTCGGTGGATTGAAGGTCATAAGGCGTCGTTCTGCTCGTCTGAATGAACGCCAAAGACTCAGCACCCGCGAAGCCCGTAGTGTCTGTAGTTTGGAGGTTCTAGACTACTCTTTCGCACACTTCGATATAATTCAGAAAAGTCCCCTGACATAACGACTGATAAACTACGGAAACGTAGTTGTGGATTCACGAAGTCCCTGGAAAGTGTGTATCTGGAATTAGTACCTGTATCACCAAGGTACGATGACTAGCCTTTTTAAATAATGACTTGGGTATCAATACAGTCATGGTAGATATACGACACTCTAAACTGTCATCATTGCAGATCGGGATTATCACCACATTGGTTTATTAAATTAAGTTGCCGTGAGCAGTTAGTGCACCCTCCAAAGTTCATTCTCTGGATGGAAATCAGTGCGCCATTGTTGCTGAACACTGAAAAAGTGTCCAGTGACCTTGCGTATGTGAATTAGTTTCACTCTCCCTGACGGCAACGGTCCTCGACATGGTTTCAGTGATGGCTTGCTGACGGATTGATACGATTAGAAGTATGTGTATTTTATTTTAATGTACCCAGGCGTCTTAAGTTGAAGACTTCGACAGCTAATGCAGAATATGTGAAAACATTCTCTAATGGTATTCGGTTAAATGGAAGAATTAGTTTATCTGTCCTTGCGTCAACGATTAAACGGTAGATCTTTGGACCCTGAGTGGGAAACAGTACAAGTTGCCCCTAGATTGTGTACGGACTCTTAATGGAAAACCCATGACTAGAAGGGGATATCTGTCCAAAATAGAATTCCACTTTTATTCCGAGACTAGGTGCTTTAATATGACTACCTCCTGAACAACTCCTACAGAGTATTTGTAAGTCGTACACCATTTGCGATCATAACCGGAACTCATTTGCCATATGCTTGTTAGGGAACTTTGCCCAATACAGCATTCACCCATGAGTTAATTAAGTGAAATCTGAAGAAGACAGTACTAAAAATCACTTTTCACTCTGGTTATTCCTGTTCGGAATGTATCGCGTGGATATTTAAAGTAACAAATATAGGAAGGGGGCATATCAACGGGTTTGGAAAAATTTTTTACGACATGTTTGGACAATCTTTGGAGCCTTGGCACTAAGCAACCGACCAATCTAGTTATTTGTAGTGTGTATCCGGATGATGTGCTATTCCTGTTTGATGGGTTCAGGTCCTTGCGGAAACGTAGTATAGCTGCCCTGTAATCTTCTAGTGGACTGAATGCAGCAGAAGACATGTGGGGGAGGATAATCGTTTGGGTCTTCACTCACCTGTCCCATCTGATTTCAGCGTCGTATTAGAATCCCAGTGTTGTTGCTTATGGTCTTAACAAATTCGGCACTGTGTTGCAGGTCTTATGAGGACTAAAGTGTGCTGCAGCACTAAAGGCGCTGCCTTCAACGAAGGCACTGATACAGCGCTGCCATCCTCCACTTATTCGGGATATTGCTAGCTCATCTGGTGAATAACAGAATCACCTATGTTATAAAATCGCTAACAAGTTCAAAGTCGGTCTCATATACAACTGGAAATGTCACAAATACGGTGTACTTACGGGTGAATTTGAGGTTTTACATATTTTCAAACACTTTATGAATCATTTACTGATAATTATTGTTTATTCTGCATCTCTAATGTATCACGTCAGCATCTGTACAAAGATGCTAATTACCTTCCACAATTAACGCAATCATTTATAGTTCCTGCGTGAAATTGACATGTCGTATTTTTTCATTCACAGCTTAGATTTGACGCTATATCTTATGAATTATTCGGTCGAAACAGACCTCAAAAATTATCCATTTCCTCATTTGTATATTTCTTTTTAAATGGTTCTCTCACATTTACCAGTATTCAACCTATTTATAAATTAACAAATCATGTTATATATTCCATAAGTTCTAATAAGTGTACATGTGTTCATGCCTGTAAAAACGGCTGGTTTCTGTTCCAGAAATAAAATATATTATTATTACGTCTCCACAGTCCAGCGCTAAACCTGCACAGGCGAAACCTAGTGAACACAATAATACAAGGCATCACAAGAGCTCGAAGGCGTTTCCTGGAAAAAGAGACAATTGCCGGTCCCGTATTGCTGTTTCCCTTAAAAGAGACTCAGCATTAAGAGCATCAATCTCGTAATAAATTAAAGTTACGTGAAGTCACATACGGTGAACACTTCACAAGCAAAACTCCTGGAAACACTCTGGGAGGAGCATCAGGAGATTCCGAAATGGCCAGTAGACCACTTGTATCCTCTTTCAGGTATGGAAACGTGACAAAGATTAATCAGCATCCGGTGCAGTATAGACTACAGACCTTCGAAAGGATGACAAGCAGCCAAAGACTAAACCCACGTCCGCGGTCAGTCGATGAACCTGCCTTATCCTGTTTAACGAGAGAGTGTGCAACCGTTTGCTTGATCAAAGAGCCCTATCTGATCAGAAACAGTTATCTACATTTTGCAGTAAATAAGGGTTGCACGTCAAGACAAAAAATTGTTTAGACTGCACAGGGGTGTTCAGGCATTCCAAGTAAGCCATCCTCATTAAGGGTAACGCAGCCCTGCCAAAGGCACTGGAAAGATATTCTTACGGTCAAAATTACTAGGTATCGACTGCAGCTGTAACACGAAAGTAAGACCTGACAAACCATGGGCAGACAGCATATAGGGGGGCAGTCACAGGAACTGGTGTCCTTTGCCTTCATGGGCACTCACGGCATTCCACATCTGGAAAGTGTCACTGCT